CCCCCCCCCCCCCCCCCCCCCCCCAAACACACACAGAGAGAATCAAATTATTTGCAAGAACAAAATTATTTCAATGTAGACTTTAATCTTGAATTCATCTCAAGGAAACATGTTTTTTTCTTTTCGATAACCAATAATCCCCGAGGGCTAGAGGCACACGGTTCGAGGCTAGGTGGACAATCCCCCCAGGGGCGGATTTACATTCATGCAAGCGGTGTCATCCGACACCGCTTCGCTGGAAATTACCACTAAATTAAGTATGTAATTAATGATTGAAAAGAGAACTACTTTAAAAAAATATTAGGGTGATACCATTGACAAATAAGGATGTGCGGTCCACTGGTTTGATGATCTATTTGTTCTCTTGATTGATTGATGGTCGCATGTTCAATTCTTAGTGGATGCACCATTGTTTTTTTATTACCTCAAAACTGACACTAACCCCAAGTGGCCAAGTCTCAACCATTCAACAAAGTTTATTAAACGAAATAGAGATAAATAAGCATTAAAAACAACATATAAACTACGAGAAATTGTTCGCTTGTATTTTTTTTTNGTATCTTACGAAATGGTTATATTCATGTTATTTGATGTTATTTATAAAGATGATCATATTATAGTTAATTTTATTAATCTAACTTTTAAATATCGACACCGCTTACTACCAAACTCCTCGCGTACCGCCCCAGAACTTACCCCCCCCCCCCCCCCCACTTAAATACCCGGCTTTTGTCTACAACAGGATTCGAAACCATGATTTGCGCCTAACCCACACATCTCAAGGAAACATGTCCTTGGAAGCTATAAGGCATGTATATATGTTCAGCTACAGCTCAGTTCTCTAGAACAAATCCATTGCATATATCCAAATCTTCCCCTCAATCAGGGAGCCTTATACACGCATTTAATCATTTAGGCTTTATCAACTATATGGGACTATTAATCTCTGCACTAAGGTTAACTCTATAGCTTTTCCATAGCCATATTTTTTTGTATTAACCGACACCATCCTGGACACATTTCTAGCTTGACAGCTGCCTCATCAACAAATGCTCCATAAGAAGCAGCTCAAATTCTACCCAGTTAGTGTTAGTCTAACATAGACTGTATAGTTATTTCATTTGCAACCAACATAGAGGATGATGAAGCTTTCTAGAAGATAGTCCACCTCATAAGAGCAATCGACTTACCTTGAGATTTTCCGCCAATCTAAAGCTTTTCCTCCGGACCTGAAGAACAGCAAGAAGCTGACGATATGTTTCTATTGCATTTTTCACTTGGCCTTGTGCAATTTGGAGCTTAGATTTGGTTCTCAACAGTTCTCCCTGATCCCACTTTCCGCTCTGATCTAGAGCTGCATCAATGATAGTTTCGGCTTCCGGAAACCGCTTTTGAGCTGATAACACCCGAGCCAACAGCATCCACCCTTTCAGAGTAGACCCACCTTCCAATTTAAGCAAGCACTTAGCATAATGGAGTGCAGTATCCAATTTCCTTTGCTCCGCATTTTCTACACAAAGATGGTAAATGATGTTGGAGTCATTCATCGTTGTTAGTTTTCCAGCGGATTCCAAGGATTGAAGTGCCTCTGATTGCATCCTAACCCTCTCAGAATCTTTCAAAACCGCTCTAGACTGTGTTGAAAGTGAAAGACCTAAGACATAGTTTGCAACACCAATCAGCCGATCACATCTTCCTTGCAATCTTTCGATAGCTCGGCGAGCAAAATTTATGCCATCTCCTGCATACTCTAAGCTTTCAGCACAGATTCTTGAAGCCAGCAATAAACCTGGAACACAAGTGGGATCCTCGGCACTACTCAATAGTTTCCGCAACAAGTTCAAGGCGGTAAAGTTATCTCCTCCTCCGTAATAACAGAGAGCTAAGATATGATACCGTTCACGTTGATCTATATTCCTAGGAAGCAACTCTTCTACTTGGTTAGCCAGAGCCGTTAGGCCATCTGAGATAGATAACGCATATGAGAGATGGTCAAGAATCGAAGGATCCCACTCTATACTTTGTAGAGTAACCTTTCTCAATAAAATCATTAAGAGAAGAATGGCCTCTTCAATATTAGTTCTGGGAACAAATGAACTGCCCATTTGGAATCTGAGACTAGGGGGAATGTATTCACTTCCACTATATAGAAGAAAAATGGAAAACTCTTTTTGAATCTTTGCATTAGTTTGGACATCAAGATTCCACCGATGAAGAAGAGCTCGGCGGTATGATATAATTGCTTCCCGTGGAGAATCTGCGAGTATCCATAATTGGGGAAGCAGCTCAACAGCGTTGCTGAGAGTTTCCTGTAATTTACAGTCAGCACCAAAGTTTTCAGGCAAGCCTTCTGGTAATGAAGATTCAACAATGTCCAGAATAACAGTGCACGATTGAGCAGCTTCTGCAAAAATATTTGGGGAATACTCAGATAAAGATAAAACCCGTAGTTTCTAGGCTTTCAGGTTCACATAATTCCTTATCATGCTGTGTGCACAATCACATGCAGACATGGCAGAATAAAAATGTACAAAAGCTGCCTCAGGAGGCAGATAGAGGTGTGCGCATGTAGGGCTCAGAAGCAAGGAAAAGCTTTTCTCATACTACCCTAAAAGTGAGAAATCTAACAAAAAAGCCAAATTATGAATTTAACCAGTTCATCTCGAAAGTTAACACTCGTGATTTAAATAAATAAGTAAGACCAAACAATGAACTTAACAAGCACTAGCAATCAACAAAAACAGAAAATAATTTGCATTCTTCAATGGAAGGCCCAGAGGATGGATATAATACTGCAAGAGAGGTAGTGCAAATTTTAACAGAGTTGAACATAACTCGTAAACATAAAAACGTTTGCAAAGACACCTGATGATTAATATAACACACTAATTTCAGCATACTGACCACATTTGTCGTAACTGAAGATGACTGTCAAATTGGAACACATAAACAATGATATTATAACAACCGCTATGCAACAATGGGAAGCTTGTTGGGGTCGGCTATATGAATTGTCATAATTCATTTCGCTCTATTTGGACCTATGTAAGCAAATATATCGATTACGGAAAATGAACTGAAAGACTACTACGTATAGTCTAACCTTTACACCTCCCGAGAACCTGCAATGATTTTGCTTTAAGAAAGACTGCTTCCAGGAGCAAACTCACAGCATGTATTGACATTGGTGGTTTATCATACTTCTGTGAACGTCTCTTTTTGGTTCGAGCTCTTACGGCAAGGGTGACTTTGATTTTAGTAGTCACTGACGCGATATCTATTCCTTCAAACACATGTAGAGCAGCCTCTATATTTCCCTTTTGGTACTCATATCTTCCAAGCAATGCTCTTGCTTCCTAGAAAGTAGATATAGTTTAACTGTCACAGATGTATAATTTTAATACAGTCAAACCTCTCTATAATAGTCTCATTTTTTCCGAGTATTTTTGGCTGGTGTAGCAAAATGCTGTTATAGAGAATATATATTATAACATAACATGAAAAATTAGTTCCAAAGAAACTTGACCGTTATAGTAAAGTGTTGTTATAGAGGATGGCTGCTATAGAGAAGTTTGACTGTGCATACAATGGAAACTTGAAATGGTTTAGGATGAGATGCTACACAACAGGCAAACTTTGTATATATATATATATATATATATATATATATATATATATATATATATATATATATATATAGAGAGAGAGAGAGAGAGAGAGAGAGAGAGAGAGAGATAACAACAGAACTTTTGTGATTGGTACCTCATAATTTAAAGCACCACTCTCGCGCAAAGATGATTCAGCTTCTTCAATATCGCCAATATCTGGCTTTTGTTCAGCTTCTCTGGTTCTTGATGAACGGAGACTTGCTGCGTAATCCTTAGTCGCAAGGGATTCATCCCTATCATCTATCTGTAATTGTTCCCCCGAGCAGAAGCACTTCATTATCTTCCTCAACTTCAAACTTGTGCGAGCCTTCCCCGGATTATTATCATTCTTCATATAACGAGCCCTCTTAGAATGCTTTAACAATCAGCAACACCAACAACAATGAATTTAACTCGTTTGTCCAAAAAAACACAAAAGCTTTAAGTTCTCTTGAATTGTGACATTTCATATGGTTCACAATCATGGATAATCAATCTAAAAGGATAATAAAGTTCATATCAAGAACATCATTATTTACAACACTCCACATGTTTATTAGTAGATTCAGCCAAGTGTAAAAATTTCTTTCGAAACCCAGAACTAGTCCGGAACAACACAACTTCATAAGACCTCCCCACCCCACCACACCCCCCCCAAACACCCCACCCCCCCACCCCCCCTCCCCCCCCCTCCCCCCCCCCCCCCCCCCCCCCAAAAAAAAAAAAGAGGAAAAAGGGAACTTTAGACCAAAAATAGTAAAGCTTAAACCCACAACGACACACAATTCTATAGTAGCTCTATATACAAGATCCCCAACTCATACTCTTTCTCTGTCCCTTAATGTTCTAATAATCAATAACATTAGAGTTCTGCTTTAAATACAAAGAAGGAAAAGAAAAAACGAAAACTAGCTTTTCAACATCCAATATATTAACTAGTTAAGTTTGGTCTTATTTTAGATATTACCACCATCATTTAAGGAATTCTTTTCAGCCTAAGCCTTGGGGGGCAAAGTTAGCCGTACCAGAGGCGGAGCTAGGATTTGAAACTTATGATTCGGGATTCTAGTCCTTTTAAGTTACTAGGTTCTAGATGTATAAGTTGTACTTAATCAATGGATTTCTTAAGATAAATACAAGGTTAGTACCAAGTTCGACCAAACCCGCAACCCACACACTAGCTCCGCCCCTGGCCGTTACATGTGCCGGTGAGAGGTAGTAGTTCTAGGTGAAATAGTCAAGGTGTGCTGACGCCACCATTTTTTTTAAAAAAAAATTCTCACCATCATTTTCAAAGAACAGGACTCCAAACAACACAATAATGATGAAAGTTAAGAGAACTGACAAATAAAAGATTCAAAGTAGAACCAACTAGTAAGCACTAATTAGAAGCATAAAATAAAGGATGTTTATACCAACTAACAATCGAAAAGTAAAGATAGAGAGAGGGTTAAAGAACCTTACTTTTCACTGTTTGAAGAATAAATGGAACAGTGATGAAAACAACATAACAAAGCCCTTCCCATCTTTTCTATTTGCAAATCAAAACTCCATTTTGATCAAAACGGTAAGTTCTCTGATCATCCAAAAAAAAACCCAATCTTCTCTTTTTTCAATTCTTTTTGGGGCAACTTTGTAAATTCACAAAAGTCTCTGAATTGAATTGTGATCAACCAAGAATTCGACAAAGCATCAAACCAAACACCCTGTTTTTCAATTTTCTCTTCTTATTAATAAAGTTCTCAACTTTGTAAGAATTCACAAAGCCTTTAAAAATCCAATTATTTGGGTCTGTGTTAAAGGGCTTAAAAATGGGTTTTTGAATCAAAATCAAGAATCCCCCCCAAAAAAAGAACTTGAAAATATTCTTGCCTTTTTTGGGAAATTTCTATATAATTGTGATTTGGGTTTTCTTATGGATTTATTTTGAATGGGTTTTTGCGTGGAATCAAAACAAGAGAACTGGAAAAACGATGGTGGCAATGAAAGCGTGAAGGAGAAGATTTGTTATATTTTTATTATTACTATTACTATGAGGAAAGATTTGGAGGGATTGAAAATAGAATAAAGTAAAAAATAGTGGTGGGATTTGGAATAGAAGACTTGTAAGTGGGACCAATATGTAATTTAATAAACTTTCTCTAAGGCTAAGATTCTGCCACGTGGAAGTTGGAACAGTGGAATTACATTTTTCATGCAGTTATTTGTACGTAAGAAAACAGTACTTTTTAAATATTTCAGCCTTTCAACAAATAACTGACAAAATATTATTTTTAAGATGAAGTAGTAACTGACAAACTTTTTAACGTGACAACATTTTTATAAAGCTCAACCAGACATTATTATTATTATTTTTGCATATGGTGTAAAACAATTATAATTATTACGTCTAAGTCCCAAATAAATTGAGATCCGCGATATAAGTTCTTACTATTTCATGTATGCTCAATTTATATCATCATCATATAAAATAAAATAAAAGTAAAAATAAATTGTATAATAATAATAATAATAACGAACAATAATAATAATAATAAATTAAAGTTCTCTAGAAAGTCTAAAATGTATTTTCAATAGTACATATCGCCTAGATGGTTCTTCTTATTCTATTGTGTCCTAACTTTAGCTTAGTCTACATTGATTTCAATAATTTTTAGGTCTTTTGACAACTTCCTTTGATGTGATTTTAAATCTATCCCATCACGTTTTAACGCGAAAAATCCAAAAATGGTCAGTTTTTCGCCTGGTCAATCAAATGTAGCCACATAATCACCGGTCAACGATATTTAGCCACTAATTTAGTGCGGTAACATTTTGTTGACTAAAATATCCCTGCTTTTTTTATTAATTTATGCGACTTCACCGTAAATTCTTCTTTTAGCAAAACTTAACAAAATCTTCCGGCATTAATTTTCAAATCGAGTTATTAGGAAAATTTTCGCCGTCAATCTGTAAATCGAAATATTAGCAAAATCTTTCGGCGTTAATCGAGGTATTCGCAAAATCTTCCGGCGTTAATTTGCAAATCGAAGTGTTAGCAAAATCGTTCTGCGTCAATCTGCAAATCGAAGTTTTAGCAAAATTTCCGTCGTCAATCTGCAAATCGAAGTAAGTTCTATCTAAAATTTGTCTGATTATTTAAATTTCTTCTACGATCAAGAATTCAAACCATAAAATTCAAAGTATCAGTAAAAAAAATTATTTTTCGAATTTTTGATTTGTTTTTAATGCTTTATTCTGTGTTATTGTCTAATTTTCTCAATGTAGAACATAGCGCCAGTATAATTTGTTGGACGTTTCTAAATTAATATCTAAAGCGAAGATTTTTCCAGCTTATTATACTGAAAATCTCATAAAAAAAGCATTATAATTCACTTGAAGTATGTTTCGTTAATGTAGATATTATGTTATAATATAATTGAGTTTTGTTTGAATCCAGTATATTTTACGGGACATCACGTGTGTGTAAGCTTTTCCTCCAATATGTTATACTGGATAAGTTCTAACACTAGAATATAATTGAGTTTTGTTTGAATCCAGAATACTTTACGGGACGTCACCTGTGTGTAAGCTTATTCTCCAGTATGTTAAACTGAATAAGTTCTAAGACAAGAATATAATTGAGTTTTGTTTTAATCCAGTATATTTTACGGGACATCTCATGTGTGTAAGCTTATTCTCCAGTATGTTATACTGGATAATTTCTAAGACTAGAATATAATTGAGTTTTGATAGAATCCAGTATATTTTACGAGACATCACCTGTGTATAAGCTTATTTAAGTTATACTGGATAAGTTATAAGACTAGAATATAATTGAATTTTGTTTGAATCCAGAATATTTTACGGGACGTCACCTGTGTGTAATATTTTTTATGTTATACTGGATAAGTTCTAAGACTAGAATATAATTGAGTTTTATATCAATCCAGTATATTTTACAGGAAATCACCTGTGTTTAAAATTTTCTCCAGTATGTTATACTGGACGAGTTCTATTTAGAGTAGCATATAGTTGAGTTCTATTTAGAATAGAATATAATTTACTGGACGTTTCCAGCTTATTATGTTGGAAATCTCATAAAAAATGTATTGTAATTCACTTGAAGTATGTTTCCTTAATGTAGATATTATGTTATAATATAGTTGAGTTTTATTTCAATCCAGAATAATTTAAAGTACGTCACCTGTGTGTAATATTTTTCTCCAGTATGTTATACTGGACGAATTCTGTTTTCAGACTAGATTATAATTGAGTTTTGTTTTAATCCTGTATATTTTACGGGACATCGCCTGTGTCTAAGCTTTTTCTCCAGTATGTTATACTGGATAAGTTCTAAGACTAGAATATAATTGAGTTTTGTTTTAATCCAGTATATTTTACGGGACATCACCTGTATGTAAGCTTATTCTCCAGTATATTATACTGGATGAATATTATATTTTTAAACAGTATAATTTCTAGATATCTAATTATTTGGGTTCATTAAATACAGGATGCATACAAATTTCTTGATTATTGCGTTCGATGGCAAATGGACAGCAGATTACAAGTACTTGGATCATAAAACGAAGCTCCTCCTGATAAATGATGGGACTTCATTTGAAGAATTCCTTAGAAAATTTTTTGAAGTTATAGAGCTTGACAACAAAAAGTTTCAAGCAAATGTATGGCTTAATATCAACCTAGGTACTTCTAAGGGAATAGAAGTGACAAAAGATGAAGATCTTATTACGTGTATGATTCTTTTAAAAAATGATCCATACTATAAAGATTCGAAATTTGTTGTTGAAATATCAGAAAAATCAGATCAACAACTAGAAGGTAATGCAATAATGGAAATTGATAATCAACAGTTATTGCACAGAAACACATATGGTCCGGAAGAGCAAGTGTTGCTGATATCTCAAGTTGAAGAAGAGCAGGAGAATCCAATTTATGATATTACAATGGAAAAAGAAATTGTAATTCCTGTGGAAGATCAGCACATTGAATCACTACAAAGTATTGAAGGAAGAAAAAGGAAAGGAAAAGGAAAGGAAATGCAAAAGAATCTCCATCAATAATATTGAAGGAAAATGCATCACTGGATGATGTAAAACTTGGTTCTGTTTTTCAAGATAAAAATGCCATGATTAGATGTTTTTGCTTAGCAGCTATAAAGGAGCATTTTGAGTTCTATGTTAACAGGTCAAAGTAACACGAGATACTCTTTGGTATATATTGATGAAAAGTGTACTTGGACTGTTCGAGGTTCAAGAATTAAGGGAATCAACACTTTTTAAAATAGTTAAATTTCAGAGAACAACTGAGTGCTCAGTTGATATTCGAAAATCAGATCAAAGGCAAGCAACTTCAAATGTGATTAGAGATTACGTGATTGACAACTTAAGAGACATAGCTACTGAGGTAAAACCTAAGTTTGTCATTTCAGAGATGAAAAGAGCACATGGAATTGTGTTGGTTATGGAAAAGCATGGCATGCTATTCAAAAGGGGTTATCTTTGTTAAGAGGAACAACTGAACACAAGTATGAGCAGCTGCCATCATATTGTATATGATGGAACAAAAAGTCCAGGATCATATACAAATATTGTGAGAGATGAAGAAAACAGGTAAATTTCTTATTTATGATAAGCTTTCTTTCCTGTAAATTATACTAGGTGAGTTCTGTTCAATCAATTGTATTTTATTTTGTCTAGTATATTATACAGGATGTTAGTGGTTGCGTCCAGTATATTTTATAGGATGTGTGTATTGTATAAGCTTTCTTTCCTGTAAATTATACTGGATGAGTTCTTTTTATTTATTACTTTTTTTGAGTGATTTTTTATGTCCATTATTAAATACGGGACATAGTGGTTTAACAGTATATAACTCCAGTTTAATATACAGAAAACAAAATATTAAGTTATGTATTTCAATTTTATTTCATTTTCTGCAGTATATTAAACAGGAAGTTAGTGTTTGTCTTCCCGTATATTTTACAGGACGTGTGTATTGTAAAAGCTTTCTTTCCTGTAAATTATACTGGGTGACTTCTCTTCAATCTATTGTATTTGATTTTGTACAGTATATTATACAGGATGTTAGTGGTTGTCATCCAGTATATTTTACAGGATATCTGTATTTTATAAGCTTTCTGTCCTGTATAATATACTGGGTGAGTTCTGTTCAACCTAAAATTTTGTATTTTTAGTTTATTTTATCTAGTATATTATACTGGATATTAATGGAACTCCAGTATGTTATACTGGAAGAATATTATAAAATAGTTAATTTTTGTTTGATGCCCGTAAATTTTACAGGACGTGTGGCATGAGCTTTATCTCCAGTATATTATACTGTGTAAGTTAATTGAATTTTATTTACTTTTCTTTTTACAGGTTTGTTTACATGTTTTTTTATGTATGGGGCATCAATTTCTGGGTGGAAGTATTGTAGACCACTAATTGCTGTTGATGGAACATTTCTAAAAAATAAATATAGAGGTGTTCTATTAGTGGGTGTTACCAAAGATGCAAATAACCAGATTTTTCCTATAGCTTTTGGAGTAGTGGATAAAGAGAATAATGAATCATATGAATGGTATTTCAGGGAATTAAGAAAAGCAATTGGGATTCGTAATGATTTAATGTTCTTGTCAGATCGACACAAGGATATTGCAAATGGAATTGCAAAGGTTTTCCCTGAGTGCTACCATGGAATTTGCATCTATCATTTAGAAAAGAATCTGAAGAAACACTGTGATAAATCTCTTTCAAAGTGCTGCAAGAGTATACCTTCAATCAGAATTTGATGACTTCATGTCCCAAATAGCTGCTGTTGATAAGAAAACTTTCAATTATTTGATGGAGGAACCGCCAGGAAGGTGGGCTCGTTCACATTGTCCCAGAAGAAGATATGATATGTTAACAACAAATATTGTTGAGTCAATGAATAATGTTTTAAGACGTTCAAGTGAATTGCCAATTTTAACAATGATGGATTTCATACAAGAAAAATTGCAAAGCTGGTTCTATGAAAGAAGGACACTTGCAGAAGGAATATTCTGTGATATATCAAATTGGGCAGAAGCAACATTGGAAGCAAAAATTC